AGAAATTGAAGAGTATTTTAAAAAATGGAAAGATATTCCTTGCTCATGGATAGGAAAAACCAACATTGTGAAAAATGGCCATGCTTCCTAAAGTGTTGTTCAGATTCAATGCAATTCCAATTAAAGTACCAATAGCATACCTCACAGATCTAGAGAAAACATTCCTAAGGTTCATCTGCAACCAGAAGACACCCAGAACAGCAAAAGCAATCCTGGGAAACAAAGACAAGTCATGTGGCATCACAATCCCTAATTTGAAATTATACTACAAAGCTACTGTGATAAAATCAATATGGTACTGGCAAAAGAAAACAGACCTGAAGATCAATGGAACAGACTGAAAGATGCAGTCACAAAAACAAACATACTCAGCCACTTTATCTTTGACAAAGGGGCCCAACAAGCTCACTGGAAGAAAGATAGCCTCTTTAATAAATGGTGCTGGAACACCTGGCTCACCACATGCTAAGATTGAAACTAGACCCATGTCTATCACCATGCACCAAACTCAAGTCAAAATGGATTAACAGATCTTAATATTAAAACAGAAACACTAAATCTACTGGAAGAGAAAGCAGGTAAAAATCTTGACGATATAGGAGTAGGCACAGAGTTCATGAACAAAAGCCTAACCGCATGGGAAATGCTTCAAAGAATCAACAAATGGGATCTCATTTTACTGAAAAGTTTTTGCACATCTAACCAGCAGAGTAAAAAGAGAACCCACAAATTGGGAAAAAATTCTAGCTGACTGTCCTTCAGACAAAGGATTTCTATCTAGAACATATAAAGAATTAAAAAACATCAGCCCCCCCAAAATTCAAAGACCCAATACAAAAATAGGCATCTGAGATGAACACACACTTATCAGATAAAGAAATATACTTTTATTCTTCTGTTTCCAGGTTCTTGGTAGCTGTGGCTTACAGTGCAGATATGGCCAAGTCCAACAACCACACCACACACCACCAGTCCCAAAAATGGCACAGAAATGGCATCAAGAAACCCCGATCGCAAAGATACAAATCTCTGAAGCAGGTAGATCCCAAGTTCCTGAGGAATATGCATTTTGCCAAGAAGCACAACAAGAAGAGCCTCAAGAAAATGCAGGCAAACAATGCCAAGGCCATGAGTGCACGCGCTGAGGCTATCAAGGCCCTCCTCAAGCCCAAGGATGTCAAGCCCAAGATCCCAATGGGTGTGAACCACAAGCTCACTCAACTTACCTATATCGCCCACCCTAAGCTTGGGAAGCATATCCGTGCCTGTATTGCCAAGGGTCGCAGTCCTTGCTGGCCAAAGGCCCAGGCTCCAACCAAGGCCCAGGCTCCAACCAAGGCCCAGGAT